GGGGGGGGGGAGGGGGGAGGCAAGGGCACGGGAACCCCAGGCTCGGAAGGGCGGAGCTGGCGCGGGGCCCCTTGCCCGCCAGAAGGATACGGTGTCTTTATCGCCGAGAGGCCAGCCTGCAGCGTCAGGGTGAACACAGAGTTGTTCCCCAGCTGGTGCAGCCGGTAGTTGTCGTACCGGAACTGCTGGATCAGCATTCGCCACCGGGCAGGGTCCAGCAGGTCCTGGAAGAGACAGGGCAGAGCAGTGCTGGGGGCACCCCGGGGCCCACTGCAGTCCCGGGCAACAGAAGGTGGGCCCCCACGAGCCCACAGCCGCCAGCTGGAGAGTGGCACAGCGCGCCCGAAGCCCAGACCCCACGTCTGCCCACAGGCCCGCCAGTGTGTTCTGTGCGGACAGACGATAGAGGGTGCGGGTCCTGTGGCCTCGCGGCAAGAAGGGGACTCAGTGGGTCTAAAGACAGCTGGACATGGATAAAGGCACTGAGGTTCCAGAGGAAAAGTCTCGTTCCAGAAAGGGACTTGCTGGCATGGGACCCAGCAGCCCGGCTCAGGGTGGAGAACCGCAGAACAGAACACCGGGCCTGATGAGCCCGTCTCCAGAGCTTTCCAAGTTCAGAGCCTACAAGAGCAGGGAGGGGAGGGCACACACCAACAGGAGGGAAACCCTGGACGTCAAGCACAAGGGTCAGGGGTCCCGCGTCAAGGCAGAGGCACAGGCAACCGCTGGGTGGGAGCCCCACGGGGAGCCCTAGTCCGGGGCAGATAGCACACTTCACTCCAATGTTAAAAGCACGTGTCTTTAATGTTATTTTTACCACAGCAAAGCCCACAGAGGACCAAGCCCACAGTCCAGAGGCTCCGCAAACCCCTCTCTCAACAGACCCTTGGCCTCGGGCCACTGGTGTGGCCACCTCTCCAAGACCAGAGCACTTCATCCTGCCTCTCATGTGACCCACTTAGACCTGTGACTTCCTGCCACAAGGGGTCAGGGATGTGCCCCCTCAACACGGCCCCCAGGGCATGCCACAGCCTCAGCACCTCCCTTGACGGCCCGCGCCCCTCCGCTGAGACTGTGCACGTCCCGGCCTTCCTCTCTCGTGCCGCCCAGCCTCCCTGACCCCCAGCCGGCCTTGGCCGTGCACTGGCTGCCGTGGTTTCTCTTCCGCGCCGCCAGGATGTCTCCCCGACGGTCAGCCCTCCGGTCCTCAGGCTGCGATGGCAGCACCGGCCCTGCTCCTTCCTGCCGCCGTGAGGCCTCTCCAGGGAGGAGTGGGCACGGGCCCCACGGATGCCATCCCGAGCAGGCCTTCTCACGCACTAAGGGCAGGCCCCTTCTGCACTCCTCGCAAACCTTCTCCAGAGCAGGGAAGAGACACGTGATCACGCCCAAGATCTCTGTGAACACAGGCTGTATCACAGGACATGCCTGACACCTGAGGACTGTGTGCATCCAGTCGGGACAAAGCAGCAGCTTCCAGCAGCCCGGAGAAGGCCTGCGGCCAAGCACTTCAGTAAGTGGGGGCGAGGTCCCGGGCTGTGCCCGGGACAGGAGCTGTCGGCCCACAAAACCGCATGGGGCACGTGGGACCTCAGAGCCCAACGTCCAGGCTCAGAGAACAAGGCGGGTTCAGCCCACGGGGAAGGCAGTTCACTTCCCTCCCTCCTGGGGACAGGCTGACAACAGCGAGAGGGAACACCAGGGTCGAGTGCCGTGTCCCTCGCCGTGACAGTGTCGGCAGGTGGACCTCCAGGAGCCACAGGCTCAGGAAGGGGGTGGAGGCAGGGAGCCTCACCGGACCCTGCTGGTGCCACGATCCAGGGCTCCCAGGCGCGAGACTGTGAGGACTAAGCCGCCAAGCCTGTGGGATTGTCCCAGAGCCCAGGCGGACGACGACGGAAAACCGAGGGAGGAGCCGTGCAACGAACAGCCAGAACTGGGGCCACAGCTGGGACAGTGTGGACGCGTGACCACACAGAGTCCATGCTGCGGCGATGGGACTGGTCCCACGCGGAGAGCCCCAGTCTTCATGGAGGGCGAGCGGCTAGGGGGTCAGGAGCGGGACGGCGGCAGGGAGGCCGAGGAAAGGCCAGCCCTGTCAGAGGCGTCAGAGAGTGCGGCGGCTTTGTGCTGCTGTCCCGGAGACCCCGGAGGACGGAGATGTGCGAGGACACTGAGAGTCCGACCGAGGTGGTCTCTAAGCAGAGTCCCATTTACAGTAACACACATGAAGACAAAAATGACTTCAGGGCGGAACTGCCCACCAAAAGAAAGCAGAACTTTATGATCTGGAAACTTCTGTCTGTGTTGCGAAAATGAGAAGGCTGCTCAGAAAGAGCATTAAGGGTCCAGCCAAGCAGCCTTTATAAGGACATTCGTGTGGGCGTGACCAGACTGATGGCCAAGGGACCCCGGCGGGGAGCAGCCACCGGAACGGGGGAAAGTTGCTGGAATCCCCAGATTTTCCAAGACGGGACCGTGAGCGACTCAGCTGTGAACACGTTGACGTTTTTCGAGACAAGAGAAGGAGGAACCCAAAGGCGGATCAAAGATCGCCAGGGCTGCTCCTAGGCTTTGGGGGGTGGGGGGGCACTGCCTGATTTCAAGAGGCCAGACACCCTGCCCCAGCACCCAGCAAAGCCAAGGGGACTGGTTAGCGATGCTGCATGACCACGCCCCGCCCGGACCCCACGTGGACCCACAGAGACCCCGAAGAGAGGATGGAGGTCAGGAAGGACACTGGCAGTGAGGGAGAAAGGTGAGGGGAGCAGGTGACGCGCTCAGAGCCGAAGGGCCTTCTAGGCTGAGACCCCCGTGCGTCGTTCCGATCCAAACTTCTCCCCGGCCAAACAGGAACAAGATGGGAAAGGGCCTGTTTGGGGTGCTGGCCATACTCTGAACGTGGAAGTGACCACAGACGAAGTCCTCCCAAGCCCTGAGGGCCCACGGGCACGGGTTACCTTGTAGGGCGAGATGTGCGTGTCTGGTGGGAAGGCCAGCATGCCCATGACCTGGCGGACCTCGTCCAGCTGGCTCCCCTCAGCCTGACTGAAATGCTTTCTCGCGTGTCTGGAAAACAACATTTGGGGCCGTCTAAGTTTGCAGCTTTACCTTTAAGAGTCTGCGCTCACAGTGTATGCTGGAGCCTCAGTGCCGAAGAAGCCCCCTCCTCGTGGCCCTGGGCCAGGGTCTGCTGGGAGCTCAGCTCAGCAGGGACCCCTCCTCACGGACACAGGGTCGGGGGTGAGGTTCGAGGCACCGAGCATGGAATCCCACTCAGGGAACAGCCAGAGGCAGCGACCCAGCTGTAAAGGGCACCTGCCCAAGCTCTTCCAAGTGACCCTGGCCTACATGAACCCAAAGCCCAGCAACACTAATTGCGCCAGAACGCCCACCGGTCCCCCCCGCCCCCGGCACAGCCCTGGGAGGCCCCGGAGACAGTCCGTCCCCCCGGGTTCTGACTCTCAGGAGACACAGAGCCCACAGGTCGGGCCCCAGGGCTGTGCCTTCCCGCACAGGCCGCACCTGGGGACCCCACGTCCCCGTGCCTGCGTGCCAGCCTCCTTCCCAGAGGCCCCCCCTCTGCCCTCACGCACACCCTCGGTCCACCCCCTAAACGGCACATCTCCGCGCCTGAGCGTCCTGCAGCCCGGGGCCGGCACCGTCCCAGGACAGGTGGACACAGCAGAACCCACGGCCTGTGCCCACACGGTAAGTCGGCCTCGTGCCGTCAGAACGGTCGTGTGCACCAGACAGGAGGAGCCTGGGTGCCCGGCCCCAGCGTCCTGCTTGGGGACGGGGAGAGAGGCCTCGAGTCACAGGCAGGGCCCAGCCAGTCAGGGCAGGCCTGCTGGACACTCCACGCTTCACCCCCCAGAGCCCAGAAGGCCTGCCCCGTGAAGTCAGGGAGGGAGTCTGCCCTCTGCGGAGAACCGGGAGACCTCCTCCACGTACCTCACGGCGTCCAGTCTCTTGTTCTGCCGGATGAGTTCAATGAACTCCTGAATCCTGAGGCTGAATTCCAGGCAGCTCTGGGGGCAAAGACGAGACAAGGCCTGGGTAGCGTCCCCACACAGCCACGCCCACGGGCTGGCCCCGCCACACGGGCCACACACCGCACGCCCTGCCGAGGGAGCTTCGAGCCAGCAGGGAGGTGGGACGGACGCCAAAGCTGTAGTTTCAGCTGCAGCCCATGCCTCCCCAGCACGGCGGGAGCAGCCCTGCACCCAGGGGGCTGGGGCCTTGCGAGTGCACCCGTGGGCCAGGCTCGGGGATGGCGGGACAGGCACCCCCTGAGGGCGAGGATGCCGGAGGCTGAGGGTTCGGAGGGCCCGTGGCACGACTTCCCGTGTGTGTGAAGACAAGTTTCCAGCCCCTTCACAACCCCGGCTGCTTCATCCGCACAAAGGCATCAGCGTGTGGGCACGCTGTCACAGCCTTCTCCTAGCCCAGCCGCATTTCCCAGCCTCGGCCCCGGGGACCTGGCCTCAGGATCCCGTGTGGCACTGTCCACCTCAACCTGCTCCCCACATGAGGCCCCAACACCCGGTTGGGAGAGGCTGGGAGGTGGTGTCTCGCAGGGGAGCAGAAGCAGGAGCGCCAAGCGGGGAGCAGGGGAGAGAACCCAGGTCCCCGAGCAGGGACACGGGTGAGGACCCTTGGGGTGGGGTGGGGGTGGGGACAGTGCACAGGGATGCCGGGGACACGTGTTCCAGGCAGAGAAAGAGCCAGTTCAAAGGCCCTGGGGAGGGCGGGGGTGCCGGGATTTGCAGAGGGCACAGGGGGCGCCAGGTCTGGGGCAGCAGTGGCCGGTGGGCCTCGTGGGGCAGTGAGGGGCAGCTGACAGGGTGCGGCACCAGCACGGTCATTTGTGTGGAAGCCCAAACGCTAACTCTGAAATCTCAACAATGCCGGTCCAATTTGGGTTCAAACTCTGACTGAGGATGGGTGAAGGCAGGCAAAATTAACTTCTGTGACCTAAGATGAAAAGCTGGATTATTCTACAAAAGTAGTAATTTAAACTATAGTATCTTTGTGGTTTCAGAAAACGCTCAGTATTTCCAACCAGAAACAGAATAAGTGGAGTTAACGGAATAGGAAAATCTCTGGGTTTTCCACGATTTGTCACTCCGTCTTCTGTCGTACCTGGATCGCAGTGCGGTGCGGACAGAGTTCTACGTGGTGAGCCAGTCAGCCAGCCCCAAGTGTCTCAACTGTGACTCGAGTCTACCAATCACGTGGACTTTTCCCACCCGGGCCTCCGAACGTGCACACGGACATTCTGACGAAGGGTCTCAGCCGGACCCCTGCGAGGGCGCCTCCAGGGACACGAGGGCAGAGCACCGGCTGACGGGACCTACCTTGGGGCCCGCCAGGCCGTCGGAGGCAAAGGTGCTGAGAACCACCTACCTGGTGCCCAACACGTCCACAACACAGGTGCTCGGGGCAAGCGGTTTCCCCGCCCTCACCCCACCTCCCCTGCCCTCTGCACCAAGGCAGCGGTCCGTCCTGGCCCCCAAATGGATGGAGCAGATGCCACGTGCTGAGTGGCGGGCCCGGCACCAACTGTAAACAGAAAGGAGGTCCCACCCGCAATGACGCGCTCCCTTCTGAGGTCAGACCAGCAGAAGCCAAGGTGGGGAGCCCGGGGGGAAATGCCCTGCCTGCCTCCCCAGGGCGGCCGACGATCGCCGCTCTGGGCTCAGGGGACGCCAGGAGCTCTAACAACAGGGGGGAGCCACCAGGTGGATGTCCCAGGTGAGAGCGCCACGGCGCGTTCCACGACAGCTCCTATGACTGCACGTGCGGACGCGTTCGAGGATTTATAACGGCTCTGCTCTCGCAGCTCACCTTCCGGTCTCACCGGCAAATACAAACGAACTGGAAGTCGGGTGCCCAGACTCCAGCATGAGACAGCACAATTCTAGGCGATCGTGCCAAGCACCCACGGCTGAATAGCATCCCTCGTGTGCTACCTGGGGGGGCCTGGCGCCTTCACGGTTGTGACTCCACCGGCTTTCCGGACACGCAGCCCGTGTGCTGCCGCTCCGATTGCCCTGAAGCGTCTGGACCCCAGAGTCAACAGACACCCACTCGGCACACCCATCGGGAAACTCGGGTCTCAAATCTGTTTTCTGGCCTAGGGCCTCTGACTGCTCCGAGGGGTTTGCTGTGGTCCAGCACGGCCCCTCCCCGGCCTGCGCGCGTGAGCGCACGTGTGTACCCACACATACGTGCGCTGCGGATGCTTCACCGCTCTACCCTGTTCGGCCGGCACTTCGTAACAAGCCTATCTTCACGCCCAACGGGGTGGCTGTCCACGTGCTTTCCAGCGCACGGGCCGGTGACAAGAAGCTGCCAGCCGCGGACTCGGCCGCCTGCCCACCCGCCCTCCCCCACAGTGGCTGTGAGGCCCCGCCTGAGACCCGGCCCAGGGGGACGTGCCCTGGCCAAGCAGCAGTGTTGTCTGGAGGCATCGGGGCTTGCAGAAACTGGCTGTCAGGACGGGAAGCCTACGTTCCTTCTGGCCTGGTTCCCACCGTGTGGCACAGCTGTGGGGGCTGGAGCAGGAGCGCAGGGTAAGTGTTACATACCAATTCTGGCTTTCCTTTTATGGTTTCCATACCAAGATCCTCACTCTCTTTAGGGGAGCCACTGGCCACTCTACTTTTCCGTCCCGTCTTCGCGTCGTGCTCGCTTTGGCGGCCCTGAGTGGCAGAGAGCGTCACCCTTGGCTGGTGACTATATGCACACGACAAGCTCAACCGGGGAGAGGTTAAAGGCGCTCGGTTTAGAAAACAGAAAACAAACAGTTTTTCTAACGGAGGCAGGGGAAGGTTAATAGAAGTTAAACATTTCTGCAAGCCCCATGGTGACAACACCTTTCAGTAAGCACATTTAAATTCTGCAATTTAAGTGTCCATTTTTTAAGCTGCTTGTATTGTAGCTCTCAAGAAAAGCTCTCAAGAAAACCTAGCACTTAGCACCTTGGCAGGTGGACAACGCTTCCCGGCGGGGCTCTCCTGTACCGGTGACTGAGGGGCTGGGCGAGCCGGAGGGACCCGGCACACGCAGGCAGTCGGCACCTCGCCCCTTCAGAACCTCATGCTCAGGCCATTTGTCAAACCGTAATGCAGAGGGGGTGCACTTTTCAGGGATTTTACCCCAAACCCAAACACGATGACCAAAACCGAAACCCCACACCCCCACCCTACCAACCGGAAGCTCAGAACTCTGAACCAACAGGTGAAGAAGCGTTGGTTCCCGCAGGTGCTCGCCCGCAAGCCCCGCCCCGCGCCCGCAAGCCCCGCCCCGCGCCCGCACACCTTCATCTTGCGCAGCCGGGACTTGTTGTCGTGGCACCAGGCCAGGCAGGTGGCGGTCTCGCGCCTCTCCAGGGACTCCTCCACTTCTTTGGCAGTCAGGAACATCTCGATGTTCACTAAGTCCTTAGGGGAGGGTAGCGGCGTGAGCTCCCTGCACTGGGCTCTGGGACCCCCGCACCCAGGCCCCATGTGCTCTGTGCTCCCTCCGGTTCGGCGGGGCCCAGCCTGGCAGAAGGGCTCGGCCCGAGGCTCTTGTGGGCCGTCTGAGCCCAGCGGCCCCAGCACAGCGGGCCGAGCACACCAGCCCCAGCGCCGGCTGAGCACAGCGGCCAGAGCACAGCGGCCCCAGCACGCCAGCCCCAGCACTGGGCCGAGCACAGTGGCCCGAACACCCCGCCCAAGGCCCATTCTGCGCCCATGTACGGTCTCCCAAGAGCAGCTGTGGGCCCCAAACCAAAGCCCCAGTTTAGAACCTTCCCCCTCCCGGCGGGAACATACGCCTGACCCCATTTCACCCCTTCACAATTAGATCCGGGAATCCATACCCTCATTTTCTGGGCCTTTTTTTTCCTCTGAAGATTTATTTGAATGAGATTTTAGAGAAGGGGCAGTGAGGGTGGATGAGCAGGGCGGTCTCTGTGTCACGTTTGCTCTTTCCCCTTCTCTGGTGCCTGTGCAGTTGGGGAAGCAGCCTACACAGCCGCATCTGCTGCGCTCTGGCGGATCTAGGCAGGCCCAGGGACTCGGGGTAAGGACAGCCACCAGCCCCGTCACATGTCTGCCAGAGTGAAGGAGCCCACGGGGTGCCCGGGGCCTGCACGTCCCCAGCAAGGGGCTGGAGCACTGCCAACAAGAAGGATGTGGCCATGCAGGCTGGGAAGAGACAGTGGATGCTTGCACATCACCAAAGGGACAAGCCGTGAGGAAAACGAATGTCAAGCGGGAAGTTTCTCCCCCTCCTGGAATGACCGGAGCAAACACCGTTACTGAAGATCAGTGTCTCGCTAAGCGGAGGGAAAGCGTCCAGCACGAACCCTCGGGGGAGGGTTGGACCACTTGAACTCTCGGGGGAACCGTGCTGCTCTGCATGCCAGTGTCCTGTGGCCAGCAGGCGAGCGTTGGCTGCACACACATCCCGGTGTCCTCAGGCAGGCCTCACACAGAGCCACTTGGCATGGCAAAGTGCGGGACGAGTCCGCTCTCTTGCCATGCTGTCTCCACGTAAGGTCTGCCCTGGGGCCAACCAAGTCAGGAGCTCACCACCGAGCTTCCCAGCCTCGGCAGCCAGGGCCGCGGCCTGCTTCTCGCACAAGCGGTGTCTGGAGAAGGGAGGACTGTGGCAGAAGATGGGGACTTTCAAGTAGAAGTGACCAGAGCGAAAGCCAGAAGCTTTCCTTTCTTTCTGCACATTAAGAAGTACATCCTGGACAGAGGCCCGGGTGGCTCAGTCGGTGGTTAAGCGTCCGACTCGGTTTTGGCTCAGGTCATGATCTCACAGTGTGTGAATTTGAGCCCCGCCTTGGGATTTTTTCTGACAGTGCAGAGCCCGCTTGGGATTCTCCTGTTCCTCCTCTCTGCTCCTCCCCTGCTCATGCGTGGGCACTCTCTCTCAAAAATAGATAAACTTCAAAAAAAAAAACAGTACGTTACAGCTAACGATGCTGCAGTATCATTAACACCGGATGTTTATCGCGAAAGTAACCAGAAAACATACTAATCAGAGTGCCACCACACAGCGACCCTTGGGCTCAGCCACACCAGGGCCGAGGCCAGCACAGGGACTGCTGGGGCGTGTCGCCGTGGAAGGCAATAGCCAGGTTCGGGCAGAAGAGTAGCTGACCTAAGGACAGGGGTTGTGCCACTGTCGGGGTCGGCGCCCTGGACACGGCCCGTGAGCTCTGCGGGTTTCCGAACGGCAGCTTAACGGAGGGCAGTCTGGGGTGGGTCACCCCAGGGCCGCTTCACCCAAGTCGTCAGGAGCCACCGGACGGATCCCCAAGCTCATACGGCCGGAGACCCAACCGTGGCTCCCCTGCCCCACGTCCTGACTGCCAACTTTGGGGTGAGGGCAGGAGCAAGCAGCAGGACAGCAAGCTCGGAGGGGGGCCGGCCCAGTGAGAGAGGGCTCTGTCCTCAAGCAGGGGCGGTGGGGGGCAGCTAAGACTCCCGCAGTGCTCCCCGGTTCCCGCCCCGCCCACACCTCGCCCTCCCGACACGAGCTGACGGGTAAGGGTCGTGCACACACACGCCTCGCACGCCGGTGTTCCTACTTATTAAGCGGGGCGAGGGCCAGCACAGCGTCTCAGAGGTTGGCTGTCTTCTTGAGCCACTCCTTCCGCCGTTTCTCTGGCATTTTCTTCTCTCTTTTCTAGAACCTCCCTAACGGGCAAATGCTGGGTGTCCTACACGAGGATCGTCTTTGTCTACTTCCATCTCCGGTTGCGAGTTTCGCCCTGAATTCAGAGGCGGTCTCCCCTGCTCGCGTGTCAGGGTCCACCTGTGTGTTTGACCGGTGCAGCCTCTGAGTCTGGATCCTTCGCATCTTTCTCCTTCCTGCCCACGGGGTCTCCGAGGTCCACGCGTGGCCCCTGGGTTGGGGGACTCACACCAGAGGCGCCACGCCGGGCGGTGGAGGTGGGTCAGCATGCGCAACACGCATGGAAGCTGGAAACCGTCCCAGACGATCAGGTGCTGGCCCCGCGTGAGAAGCCAGACGGCGCACAAAGACACCCCTGGGGATGTGCCTCTCCTCCAACACCGAGGCTCCACGTGGGGCACGCCGCCCCATCCGGGCGGCCCCGGAGCTCTCTCTCCACGGCGTCTTGGGATGGACGGAAGTTAAACGTTAAGGAACCTTGATACACCAGCGTCTTCGCCGGTGACGGCACCCCACTCTGCTGGGAGCCCTCCCCCCACCCAAGGGCATGAGGGTCCTCCTACACTTCCTGCTGCAAACAGCTGCGAGCCTGGGTTCCACCTGGAAATGCTGCAGGGCCCCCTTCATAGGATGTCCACGGTCTGACCACTGCCATCACCGTGAATCACAGTACGGTCCCCCTCTGCCGCCCACAGTCTGTTCTCACAGAGCAACCAGGGTGAGCCTATTAAAGCAATGCCTCCAGGGGTGCCTGGAGGGGCTCAGTCGGTTGAGCGTCCGGCTTCGGCTCAGGTCATGATCTCACGGTCTGTGAGTTCAAGCCCTGCATTGAGCTCTGTGCTGACGGCTCGGAGCCTGGAGCCTGCTTCGCATTCTGTGTCTCCCTCTCTCTCTGCCCCTCCCCCACTCACGCTCTGTCTCTGTCTCAAAAATAAGCAAACATTAAAAAAAAAAAGCAATGCCTCCAACTCAACCCCCACCCCCCCACCATGCACACATTTCAGTTGAGGGGAAACCCCAATCGATGAGTTCCGCATATGCTCAGACACCCGCCCCAACTATATGGCAGCTCCCGGGCCTGGGACCTCATCTCTGCAAGCCCACCCCAACCTTTTTTTTTTTTAATGTTTACTTATTTTGAAGGGGAGCAGGGTAGGAGCAGAGAGAGCACCAAGCAGGCTCCACCCTGTCAGCACAGAGCCCCACACAAGGCTCAAACCCACCACCGTGAGACCCTGACCCGGGCAGAAATCAGGAGTTGGACTGAGCCACTCAGGTGCCCCCCGAAACCAACCTTCTGAAAATCCCCAGTCCTCCTGCCCCTGTGCCCTGTGCGACCTGTACACATCCTGTTTGACTCATGCCTCTCTCCCCATCAAAGCACACGTTCGGGGCCAGGAGCATTCGGCCACTCCCTCACGGGGCAGGAAGACGGAGGGCGGGGTGTCTGTGAGAAGCCCAACGACCACCGCGGATGCACAGGCCGTGCGAGGCAAACAGGAGGACAGGACACCCCGACAGTCAGGCACGAGCTGGCTGTACTGGGCAGGGAAGGTCAGGGAAAGAAAAGCATGGGAAGAACAGGCTTGAGGCACCACTGGGTGCCGCGCAGAGACTGGTGGGTGGGGAGGCGGGTGTGCTATGGACCCCGCACCACGGTAGATGCCGCCCTCGGGAGACCAGAGGGACCGCTGCCCAACGGCAGAGGGGCGGCCCCCAGCTGAACCGGCCCGGAGGCCAGAGAAAGGTGCACACGGCTCCGTGAGGCCCCCGGAAAGGGAGCGAGGGCCCCGCGTGCCAACCTAGATGGCTGCAGACACATCCCAGTGTCCTCGGGCAGGCCTCCCCCGGAGCCGCTTGTCACTTCGGACGCCGGCCCGCTCGGCTCCCGAGCCACCGAAAGGGGAGCGCGTGTGCACGCGGGTGTCAGCCTCTCTACCCGGAGGGACCTGCCCCGGGAGGCTGGCCCCCGCGGCCCCGCCCCGCGCCTCGGCCCACCTCGATGCCGCTCTGGCGGGCCAGCTTCACGGCCGTGTTGTAGTAGCCGCAGCGCAGCAGGTGCTCCACCATCATGCGGTCCATGCGCTTCCTCTTCCACATGCTGGCCGCCGCGGGCTGGTCGCTGCTGTGCTCCTTGAGGTGCTCGATCCTGCGCTTGCACAGCTTGGCGCTCTCGTCCTCCGCCTGGATGGACTCCACCGCCTGCGACACGACACGCAACGGAGAGGCGCTCGGGACTGGGCGGCGGCCAGCCTGCCCCGCCCCCAACACCCGCAAACGGGAGGCAAGAACAAATCCGAGGACGGCAGGGGACGGCCCCGGGCCCGGGTGACGGGCGGCCAAAGGGAGGGTCCCACACACGCCCCGGAGGCAGGTGCGGCTGCATCCGTCATTCCCGAGAAGGCAAGTCAACACCCACGGCTCTGTGGCCCCCACCTGCTCTTCCGCGACGCGACTTTTTGCTCAACGTGCTCTGCTGCTGTGCTGCCAGACACGTAGTTTTGAACTCGCTTCCCGGTTAAGTAAACCACCTGTTATGTCACGACTACCTCTCGTGACACTTTGTGCGTCTCCCCAGAAGTGTTACGTGCCGGCGCCGTCTGCAACGGCAGCCGACTCTCGAGCACCACCGACCGTGGCGCCGGTGTCACAGCCGGCTGGCGCTCGTCGGGCACGGTCCGCTCCTCTGCGGCTTCCACCTGCTGCCAGGGTAGCTGCTAACCCTTTGGAAGTGGTTTTCTTCCTCCTGCCGCTTTTCAGATTTTTCTGTCTCTCTTTTCAGTTTCACGATGTGAAATCCTAGGTAGGTCTATTTTTATTTGTCCCGTTTAGGACTCTGACCTGGCGACTCCCGCAGTTCTGAAAATCTCAGCCATTCCCCCTGCACCGTCCCTTGGCTTTGGTCAAAGTCTTTGCTCTATTCTCCCAGGCCTCCTACCCTCTTATGCATTTTCGCGTTCTCCTGCTCTCTGTGCTGCATTCTAGATAATTTCTTCACACCTACCTTCCAGTTCACAAATTCTCTCTTTAGCTTGGTCTGACTGTTAAATGTTGAAAAGTCTGTTATAAGCAAACACTTGCGTCTTTCGTCTCACTTATTATACTTTTAATCTCTCGAAGTTCTGTTTGGTTCGCTTTAAACCCACTCACACTGTACACTTCCCGTCCCCTGTGTCCCCCGCAGATGGTCTCAGCTGTCTGTTCTTCAGACGCGGCGGAGTCGGGTGGGGCCCGACAGCCTCCACGCCGTACCCCCCGAAGACCGCGTGGCGTCCACCATTTCTGCCGTGCCTCGGCCACACGTCCCGTGTGTCCGGTCATCTTACTCGACAGATGTGACGCCCTGACAGAAGCCGTCCCCCGCCCGAGAAGCGCTGCGGTCCGCCTGGCGCCTGGAGGTACCACCGGTAGGGACCGCTGACACCAAGTCGAAGAGGAGGGGTCGTGGCTCACCTGGCTGTCCCGAAACCGGCTGCGATGTCTGCCCCTGGGGCACCCTCACCTGACAAGCAGGGCTAGTGGGCCCCGGCCAGCAAGGCCCTCAGAGGGCTCACCTGTGTGATGCAGTCCCCAGGGCGGCAGGGGGTCCCGCCCTTCTCTCCTCTTGTCCCCTGCCCTCCGATTCTGGCGATAAACTTTGTCTCGTGAGCCCTTTGACAGTTCAGCGAGATGTTTTACAATAGCTTCTGGTATTTTCCAGGTTGTTCTCACTGGGCGTAGTGTACACCCTTCCTAGCTCTCCCAGCTTCGTGAAAAACCCGACACAAAGTTCTGAGGTGAGATTCTGGAAGTAAGAAGTCATCTGTCTCCCCATCTGCACCTGGGACACTCTGGTGCCAGGACGACCCGGCCTCACAGGAAGGGGAGCGTGGAACTGGAAGCCGGCCTGCCATTCCCACAGAGGGCGCAGGGCACACACGGCGTGGAGTGGCTCGCCCCTCCCGCACTCTGGCCCTGAAAGCCCACCTCCCCACCTCAGGGCTGCCTGGCCTCTGCCGTGGCCCCGATCCCACAGAAGACGGCCCCTTTTTGGGACAGCCCGGGCACACGGTGAGGCCGGGGCCACGGACCCACGCCACAGCCCGAGCACCGGGGGGCAGACGGGACGGTCCGGAAGCAACACTCACCTTCCTCTTGAGGACGCTGAGCTTCTCCACCACGCCATCCAGAAGGCTGACCACAGAGTCCACGGCGGGGCAGCCGCTCAACGTCTTCTCCAGCTCGGCCACCACCATGGTGACGTGGCTCGTCTCTCGGTCAATGTTTTTCTGAGCAGCCCGGAAGCGTTTATTCAGTGTTTCATACGGCACCTAGGGAAGAGAGGCAGCTGGCGTGTGAGCACCCGCCGTCCTATGTGCAGGACCCCAGACCTCCTTCCTGGTACTTCGTCAGGCAGAAGTCCTAGGCTTCCAGCGGTCTAAACACACGTCTACTACCCACAAAGGGCCTGTGTGAACCGAGGACCATTCGTGTTCCTGGACGAGGACACTAATGTGAGGATGTGTCCTGTCCCCAAATCCACAGAGGTAGTGCAGCTGCACTCTTTCTGGAGAACATTTACGGGTACATTGTGACGAAGTAATCCCCAAGTTCATCCAGAATGACAAACAGTTAAGAAAACGACTGAAAACGCGTAGTGCTGGGGGCTGCAGAGGGCCCATGATGGGCCCGGTGGGGGCAGCGGGGACGTAACAGCGGGGACGTAACAGCGGGGGGTCACGCAGGACGAGGGGGAGGGCGCGCCAGCACCTACGGGAAATCGTGAGCGCGCGTTTAACTACTACGTGAACCGCCTTCCCCTAATACCCACCAAGGATGGCGTGTCCTTCCAGAGAGAACACCCCTCCCAGCCCTCCTCCCGGCTGCGGGCCCAGCACTTCCCACCCACCGAGGGCCAGCAGTCACTGCAGAAGTCTGTGACAAGCCGCACCAAGCGCACACCTTCCCTACAGTGGTGCCGACCACGGGGAAGGATCCGCTCCCAAGGGGCACCGCGCTCGGTGGGGAGGAGCCGGGATTCCCAGGGGTGGAGACGCCAAGGTGACAGCATAAATCAGAAGGGCCAGACCCGGCCAAGGAGGGCCACAGCAACAGGACTCTTCCCCGGGACCCGGCTAGGCCACCGCCGTCCTGTCCCGGCTGCCACTCCCACCTCGCCTCTGTTGGGCACACAGTGGCAGTGGGCAAACACTCCTGTCCACACCTTGGGTCTTATCGGCCCAAGAGGCGCGACACCACTGGACAAGCCACGGGCGCCACACGGGGAGGTCTCGTCCCCTGCAGCCTCCACGCTGGGTCCGGCACGAGCAAGACACGAGAGTCTCTGAGAGGAAACAGAGCAGGGCCGTCCCCAACGTGGGGTGACACACGACCACCCAGGCACCTGCGCCTCTTCGGCTGCGTGAGGTCGACGGCCAACCAGGTCTGTCCTGATCTCACGGTCCCTGACGGGCGTGGACGAGGGGGAAGCTGCAGGCAGACGGCCGGCCGCAGACACGCACCTGTCCCCGCACCCAGGGGAAGAGACACCCTGCGCCGAGCCTCAGTTCTGTCACGCGTACCTCGCAAGAGAGTAACAAAGCGCAGCACAGAGACCTGGGTGCTCGCGCTCGCTCGACTCCGGTCAACCTCAGAGGAGGCGCCGAAGCCGGGTGCTGGTGGGATGCTGCCGCGAGCAGACTCCCTTTCAGAATCCTGGGCTGTTCTCAGAGCCTCCACCCACCCCAGCGGCCCCGCAAACCGACCGTGTGAGGACAGGTGTGTGTCTAACCTGACCCGGCCGGCGCTTTCGTAAGACACGATAAACAGGATTACTGCAAAATGTACTGAGACAAATCCCGTGACGCACAATAACAAAAGCTTCAAAGTTTTACTCTCAGATTCAGACGTTAAAACTACACTTCAATAAACGCGGTCAAAAGGAAAAGAGGAAAAGTCACACGTCCACACACACAGTCAGTCCGAGCACGCACCAGGTGACGGTAGCGTCCCCGCTCCACGCGGCTGTAAGGCAGGTGAGCACCACTGTGCTCTGTCACCCACGCTGGACACGGTCGTGCTCCTAAGTGCCAGCAAGACTCTGCGTGGTCGACATACCCGCGCTCAGCGGGTGACAGCAGGGACTCACAGGAGTGACGTGTCTCAGCATCCCGCCTTCCGCTCGGGACACCCGGCCCGAGGCTCGTCCCACGGGGCCAAAGGGGACACAAGAGGAGGGTCCCAAGCAGGTGCCACAGGCTTGAGCCCTCCACTTGTAACTTGTATCCAAAAAGGAAGCCGGCAACGCCCTGACGTTCACCTTCAGTGCGTCATCAACATCCAGGCCCGACAACGCATGTTGTGAGGTTACGAAGTGAATTACTCTCTCTCTCTCTCTCTCTCTCTCTCTCTCTCTCTCTCTCTCTCTCTCTCGAAGACCTGATGCGCTTCTGGGTGTGGCTAACAAAACCACGTGACAGCACTGCTGGTGGCGCCGAGCCCGGCCCGGCCGTGCTCCTCTCCTGCCCGCCGTGTGACGCGACCCGAGCCCGCCCCTCAGCCGCCGCTCCTGGCTCCGACCTCCGGATGGCCCTGCCGCGTGCCTCCTGCGCCACTCCTCCCACCCGAGGACTGGCCTCCTGCCCTCCGGGCTCCGGCCCCTGTGAGGGCCTCACCTTCTGCTGCCCACACCCCCATCTGCCCAAGCCCCCCACCAGCCTGGGCCGCACCCGGAGGTCGGCGTGGGGCCAAGGCCAGGGATGTGAGCGCCCGCCACCGCCCCTCCGCAAACACGCGGCAGGAGCTCCCAGAGCACGGAGCCGCCTCCTGGGCCAACTTCCGGCCCGAGGACACAGGGCAGCTGACCCCGGAAAGCTCCTCAGCCTCTGCCCGCAGGGCCCGCAGCCTGGGGTCCCTGCCTTTCCCCAGCTGCCCCCTGCCGCTCCGTCACCAACGGCTCCTTCACAGGCTCCTCCCAAAAGGCCTTTACCAAATGAAGGAATGGAATTTCAGAAATGCTGAAGATTCTGAACCAAGCAACCATCATTCAAGAAGGAGGGCAAAATTAAGACACTTCCAAACACGGAGACACTGCCAAGTTGAGCACCCACAGCCTTTTCTGGGAGGAAGACGACTCAGAGAGTCCTCCACGAAGCAAGAATAACCACATGAATGAGAAGAAACAACAAGATACAAGAAAGAGCTGAGAGGAAAGAAACGAGTAAAAAATACAATCAAACCAAGAGGGGAAAAAAACAGGCAGTTAGTTTAAAAGGAAAAAGAAAATCCATGGCCTAAGTAATGTGGATATGGGGACGATAAGTTTCAGAGATTCTGAAAGAATCCCAAAATAAGAGGCAGACACTAAAAACATACGCTTAAACGTATAGACAACAAAACAGAGGTAGACAAATGGGGACACCAGGCTGAAAGCACCCAAGGGAAAGGGCTGGAGCAGACATTTCTCCAAAGAAGACGCCGTGGCCGACCCATGAACGAAAAGGTGCTCGGCGTCACCGAGCCTCAGGGAAATGCAGAGCGGAACCAGGAGACCCCACGTCACACCCCGGGGGAAGACGGCCCTCCGAAAAGCGGGTCCACGGGCCTTGGAGAGGGTGTGGGGAAACTGGGAGCCCGCGCTCTGTCGGT